ACTATTAGGTGTATTGTGTCAAAATTTCATTTCAATCCATCCAGTGGTTTCTGAGTTATGTTTCTCACAAAAAGGAACATTACACACACAGACACATATATGTTATGTTTCTCCCAAAAAGGAACATTACACATACACACATATCTCTATACAGTGAAAAATGTGTATTTTCCTAGTTCCAACAGACCTCACAACCTCTGAGGATGCTTGCCATAGATGCAGGCGAAACGTCGGGAGAGAATGCCTCTAGAACATGGCCATATAACGGAATATGGATAACGAGATTTGGATTGTGATTCAACGATGAGACGTCGCGAATGACTTAGTGTAATTGTATTATTGATAGTGATGTTGTTTAATGTTGTTTTGATATTGCTTATGTTGTAAATTGTACCTGTTTTTACATGTTGTACACCGCCGTGAGTCGCCCCAGGGCTGAGAACGGCGGTCTACAAGTGCAGTAAATAAATAAATAAATAAATAAATAAATAAATAAATAAATATAGCCCAAAAAAGCTTACAACCAACCAGTGATTCCAGCCATGAAAGCCTTTGACAATACAAAAATGTGTATGTGTGTATGTGGTGGAGGTATCTGCTTACAGCCTCCGGCCTCCACGAACAAGCTATAGTTCTGAGAAGCATCCAAAGGCACTCCCTCAACTCACATTGCAGGTTATGGCGAGCACTACAAACATGTAACCCAAATGCTGCCAATGTCCTCCCCAAACATTACAGCCCACCACCCAAAGAATGCTTTAATTTGGGGAGAATTTCATCCTAGAGTTGACGTGTTTCCTCCAACACAGGCGGGCATCTCAGGGTTCTCTATGTAGAAATTGCATGACCCCGCACACTGCCTCTCTAACTCTTTCCTACACTTTCCTATGGCACACATCAAACACAGAGGAATAGATCAGCAACTGAAGAGACTGGTGGGGTTTAGGAGACTGATGACAACTATAAATACTGGCAGGATTTGGGGGTGACTGCCCTTGGCAGATGGGAGTTGTAGTTCACCCTTATCCAGAGAGAGCACTGGACTCAGACGACGACATATCTGGACCAAACTTGGCACACACACTCAACATGGCCAACTGTGCATAGAGGTTTGGTTTGGGGAGGATTGACCCACGATTCTGGGAATTGTAGTTCACACACACCGTTATGTATTTTCTAATGGGAGCATTTATAAAAAACAAAATCAAAGACTGGCTTTTTCCTAATAAATTGTGTTACTTAACACTGCAGAACAAACAATGCCTTTTTCAAATAACCCGGGCACCGCTGGATATGCAAGCTAGTATATAGTGTGTGTGTGTGTGTGTGTGTGTGTGTGTTTAGGATCTCTTACTGGATTTCATTGTCGTTCCAACTTTTGCTAGGAATGTTGCTCATGTTATTAGTTTATTAGGAAGTTTATTATTTTTCCATTCTCAGCCATGGGCATATTGTCAAATGCAACAAAGAGGCTTTATTTATTTATTTATTTATTTACAGTATTTATATTCCGCCCTTCTCACCCCACAGGGGACTCAGGGTGGATTACAATGTACATATACATGGAAAACATTCAATGCCGTAGACACACAACATATATAGACAGACACACAGAAGCCGTTTAACATTCCAGCTTTTCATGAGAGTATTCTGGCCACCAGGAGAGCTGTCGCTTCACTGTCCATCTGTGACACTGATGAAGTACTTCCTCATTCTTTGCAAGCTTGCTGGAGATTTTTATGGTGTCGTAAATTAGTTAAATTATCCTCCCCGTATAGGTGGTACCTAAATTTCCTACTTGACAGATGCAACTGTATTTCGGGCTGCAACGGTTGAAAGCAAGCTACACAAATTGGTTGGAAGCTCACTCTGACCCGGGCTGGCTTTGAACTCATGACCTTTTGGTCAGTAATGATCTTAATGCAACTGGCTCCCAGCCAGCTGTGCCACAATCCCAGTGCTTTTCATGAGGGTATTCTGGCCACTAGGGGATCTGTAGCTTCACTGTCCATTTGTGACACTGATTTGTGTACTTCCTCATTCTTTGCAGGCTTGCTGGAGATTTTTATGGTGTCGTAAATTAGTTAAATTAGCCTCCCCGCGTAGGCGGTACCTAAATTTCCTACTTATCAGATGCAACTGTCTTTCGGGCTGCAAAGATCGACAGCAAGCTACACAAATTGGTTGGAAGCTCACTCCGACTCCTAGCCAGTTGCGCCACAGTCCCAGTGCATTGGGAGCATCTACACTGTAGGATTAATGCCGTTTGGCATCACTTGAACTGCCATGGCTCAATGCTATAGGATCATGGCAATTGTAGTTTGACAGGGTCTTTAGCCTTCTCTGCCCAGTAGTGCAGGTGCCTCCCCAAAGTGCAAATCCAAAGGTTCTATAGCATTAAACCATGGCAATTGACGTTTTTGATGTCCACATTTCCAAGACTTTTGCATCTTCAAGCTATCATCCTTGAAGTCCAAAGGAATGGGTGGTCCCAGCAGAAGCCCGAAGTGGTTGCCATGGGGGAGAAATCCGCCCGGCGAGGCTTACAGCAATCAAAGCCAGTCAGGTAGAGCTTTCCTCCTGGAGTAAGCTGTGGGCGGGGAGCTCCTGTCATCTTTTTCTGCCCCCTGCCATGCAAAAATATCCTCTAAGGCCCGGGGAATGCCTCCCTCAGCAGGTTTCCACCAGAGGTAAATTGCTTATAATAACCTTTGAAGTGCCAGGGATTGGAGATGTATGTCAGGAATTGTGGGGCGGGGGTCCCCTATTTGGGAGACCTTCATTGAGGAGGCTGGGCTTTCTTCTTCCTGGAACAGCTTGCCTTTCTGTTCTTGTTTCAGGAATTCAGAATACTTTGGACACAATGGCAAAGTGTGCTTGGAATTATTTTTGGAACTATTCGTTAAGGCTGCATCTGCACTGTGGAGTTAATGGAATTTGATACCACTTTGCTACAGCTTTGGGGTGATAGGAGCTGTACTTTCATAAGGTCATTCGGCCTTCTCTGCCAAAGAGTGCTGGGGCCTCATCAAACTACAACTCCTAGGATCCCATTCCATTTAATGGTGTCAAACCGCATTAATTCCACAGCTTAGGTCAGGCCTGGGCAAACTTTCTAACTTGGGGGCCACATGCTAGCACTCCCTGCTAAGAGGTCTGGCTGCCCCGTGATGGGAGGAAGGGAAGGAGGAAGGGAGGGAGGGAGGGAGGAAGGAAGGAAGGAAGGAAGGAAGGAAGGAAGGAAGGAAGGAAGGAAGGAAGGAAGGAAGGAGAGAAGGAAGGAAAGGCAAAAGGATGGAAGGGAAGGATGGAAGGAGAAAGTGGGAGAGAGGGAAGGAAGAGGGAAGGAAAGAAGGAAGGATGAAATGGAGGAAGAGAAGGCTGGGAGGAAGGGAAGGAGGAAGGAAAAAGAGAAGGAAGGAAGGACAAAAGGGGTGGAAGGACGAAAGGATGGAAGAGAAGGATGGAAGGGAGGGAAGGAGGAAGGAAAGAGAGAAGGAAAGAATGGAAGGAGAAAGAGGGAAGGAGGGGGGAAAGGAGGAAGGGATGAAAGGGAAGGAAGGATGGAAGGGAAGAAGGAAGGAAAGAAAGAAAGAAGGATGGAAGGATGAAAGGGTGGAAAGGAAGGATAGAAGAAAGGAAGGGAAGGAGGAAGAAAAGAGAGAAGGAAGGAAGGAAGGGTGGAAGGAAAGAATAGAAGGAGAAAGCGGGAGAGAGGGAAGGAAAGAAGGAAGGATGGAATGGAGGAAGAGAAGGCTGGAAGGAAGGAAGTGAAGGAGGAAGGAAGGAAAAAGAGAAGGAAGGAAGGACAAAAGGGGCGAAAGGATGGAAGAGAAGGATGGAAGGGAGGGAAGGAGGAAGGAAAGAGAGAAAGAAGGAAGGATGTAAGGGTGGAAGGAAAGAATGGAAGGAGAAAGAGGGAAGGAGGGGGGAAAGGAGGAAGGGATGAAAGGGAAGGAAGGATGAAAGGATGGAAGGGAAGAAGGAAGGAAAGAAAGAAAGAAAGAAAGAAGGATGGAAGGACGAAAGGGTGGAAAGGAAGGATAGAAGAAAGGAAGGGAAGGAGGAAGAAAAGAGAGAAGGAAGGACGAAAGGGTGGAAGGAAAGAATAGAAGGAGAAAGCGGGAGAGAGGGAAGGAAAGAAGGAAGGATGAAATGGAGGAAGAGAAGGCTGGAAGGAAGGAAGGGAAGGAGGAAGGAAGGAAGGAAGGAAAAAGAGAAGGAAGGAAGGACAAAAGGGGCGGAAGGACGAAAGGATGGAAGAGAAGGATGGAAGGGAGGGAAGGAGGAAGGAAAGAGAGAGGGAAGGAAGGACGTATGGGTGGAAGGAAAGAATGGAAGGAGAAAGAGGGAAGGAGGAGGCCTTTTGTTGGGAGGATTCGCCGTCTGTTTCCAAAAAGGAAGAGAAGGACATGCAGACATTCTCTGCCAAAGGGGTTCCTAAGACCATCAGAAATATGTGTTTTCTGATGGTCTTTGGCCACCCTCAGGGGTCTTGACTCCCAGGTTGAGAAACACTGATCTAGAATGCATTTCTTTTACTTCAATAAATACTTTTGAACCTAAAGTTCTGATTCTGCAATCCTGTCCCATTCTAAGATATTGAAGCTTATCCTAGTTTCACCACATGTAAGTTTCTGCTGGTTATGAAGTTTACTTCTGGCACTCTGCTATATTTATGGTGGAATCATCCCATAATTCCCAACTCAGATTCCCCAACACTGTCAATGCGAAATAGATGTGGACATATTAAGAATAAAATAAGCATCCCCCTTTTTTCCTGTATTCAAACCCCCTTAGCGCCCCCCCCCCATTTTTAATCTATTCCTTGCCCCTTTTCTATAATTCACCCCAATGTTATCCCTTTTCCTTGTTTTTTATGTAAATTTGCACATGTGGAAATATAATAAAATATTTTTTAAAGGAAAAAAAAGAATAAAGTAAGCACATCAAAAGCATCCACCTTTCCTTAAAAATATCCTGCCTCTTCTCTTTTGCAGGTCTGACGTGGGATTATGAGATGGGCCTTTGCTGTGCTTCAGATGTCCGGACTGCTCCATAGCTGGGATGGATCCAGGGGTTGCCCAGGTGGCTGAAGTCCCTCCTTGCCGCCTGAGGACAAGCCGCGATGACGTGGAGCACGGAGGCCTTTCATGCTGATGATCCGAGGGGAGCGGGTCCTTTGTAGGCCTGTCCCCTCGCACCATGATGGGAGAGACTCAGCATGCCTTTGCCACCGAAGGTGCCGGGTCCGATGCCCAAGACAAAGAGGTCGCCTTTGAGCCATTCGGCAAGAAAGAAGTGGCCGAATTTGACACCAAGTTGCTGGACGCCGGGGCCGAGAATGGGTCCAGATTTACTAAGGAGAAAGAGTTGCACAATCAAAGGGAAGCGGTGATCCGGCCCCAACAAACGGGCAAAATAGACTTCAAGTCTCTCCAAAACCGGCCTCGTTTTCCCAATGAGGGTCCATGGGGCGCGGTCAAAGGAAGCCCCCAGTCTCCCACCGGAAAGAGCCGAGGGAAGGAGAAGAACAGGCGGTCTGGCAAAGGCGAACGTGGCCACCAGCAGCTTTACCGGCTGACTATCAATAGTGCCAGGCCCAACCCGACCATCGGCATTGCCTACCCGCAGCAGAAGGTCACTCCACCCAAGAAAGTCGAGGCAGTGGGCCGCGGAGGACACCTTTCGGGGAGCTACCGCTTCCATGTCCCCAGTCTCCCGGAAAGAGATGGGGAGCTCCAACATTCAGAAGAGCTCGGCTTTGCCCGGGGCTTCGCCGACAGCCCCTCAAGCCATATCTCCAGCAACTATACCTCACCTGCCAAGATCCAGGCTCCGGTTGGTGCTCCTCATGAAAACCACGGCACCAACGGGCATTATTTGGAGTTCCAGGGCAATGGGAACAGCGCGTGGTCGCTGGCAGAGAAAAGCCTCCCCGGTACTAGCGGCGGGGTCTTGCCTCCCAAAGTGTGCCCTTTCCCTGATGGTGGCAAAGCGAGCGCCCACTGCCTGGGACCCTTGTCCTTCCAATACCCCTTCCAGACTTTGCACAGCTCGCCCACTGACCCTTTCCAAGGGGAGGCCCGGGCTCAGGACTATGTTGACGTTTCCGTGGTTTCACATGGTGCTTTTGCCTTCCATTCTTCCTCCCGGGACTGGAAAGAGGAGGCTCTGGGCAATGGGGATGGTGTGGCTTTGGAGAGCCGGGCCTACACTGTGTCCACTGCTCCTCTGCCTCAGTTCCTCCCACCGCAGACTCATGGGCCTTTGCCTATCTACAAAGGGAGGCATGAACATTCCACAGATCACAACGGTGCTATCTCTCCCCCTGGTGCTATCGACCCCAACCCAAGCACTTTCCCAGAAAACCCAGCCATTTTCCCACCCAGTTTACATATCTCGAGTATGCCAAAGCCCCTTGGGATGAGGCAGCCCTTGTCGAAAGACAGCGTAGCTAGTCCAAGGATACTGGATCCAGGGAGCACTCTGAGAAGGAACACGCCACATGTCTCTCCACCCCAAGTGCACTTTCAGAACAAGGCCTACGGCGACCCAGCCGCAAATGGCATCGGATCACTGCCTTTTGATAAGAGCCTCCCTACAGCTCTCCAGGCCCACCCCAGGCTCCTGCAGCCGTGGGAGGGGGTCAAAAAGACTTATTCCTCAGTGGAGCCAAGTTCGGCTGTGTACCTGAGCTCTGCAGGTAGTCCTCTTGCCATTGGTTGCCATGAACCAAGGCTCAAGAAGACCTGGCAGCATCTCCAACTCACCTCTGCAATGGCCAGCCAGAACCGAATTGAGCTGTCAAGGAAGCTGGCCAGCCAGAAGTTGCCTTTCCCGACTTCGGAGTGGGGTGGGAAGGGGCAGAAGAGCCCCACGGATTATGCCACCAAAGCTTTACAGAGCGGAGAAGGAGCTGTCATACCCAGGCATGATTTGCTTCCACAGCCATGCAACTCAGCCAATGTGTTTTGCTTCGAAGGGGCAAAGGACGAGTCGCCAGCTGCGTATGGTTCTCGGACCACCAAGTCAATTTTCTTCAGCGTCAGCCAAGGGGTGCCCTCATCTGCTTCCTCTCGGCTGCCTTCTATCCCGGGTTTGGTGTTGCCGCCGTCAGCCTTGGCTGTGTCCCCAAGCGAATCTCCACTCCCGTCGCCCGCACCCAACGCCACCAGCAGCAGCAGCACTTGCTCCTCACTCTCACCGACGTCCAGCAGCCCAAATAGCTTTGAAGAGGGCTTCACGCTGAACCCATCCTCCTTCTTCCACCACCAGTGTGGTGCAAAGGAAGGCAACAAACCCTTTCAAGCCATGGAGCCGCCAAGCTCTGCCCCCTTCCCCTTCTCCCCAGAAGCCTCAAAGGATGAGCTCCTTTACAAAAGCGCTTCTGCAGAGGGACATTTCCCCAAGCCCAGCCTGGAGGCTTTCAAAGGCTGCCTGGAGGCATTTGAGGCCGAGCTGCCTCCGCCGCCGTATTCCTCCTCGCATCACCTCCTGGCCAGCTCCCTGAGCAGTGCGAGCCTCGACCAGCTGGATGTCTTCTTGACCTGCAAACAGTGCGACCAAAACTTCAGCAACCTCTCCTCCTTCTTGGAGCACCGGCAGTTCTGCAGTTCGCACACCACCCTCCACCAGAGTCAAGCCAAAGACCCTTCTCGGGGGCTGGAAACTAGGAAGCAACACAATGGGGCCCCGGGGCCCGTAAAACACACCCAAGCTGGCCTAGGTCTGCTGCTGCCTCCGGATCCCCATGCCCAACTGCTTGCCTTGAACAAAGGAGATGATTTCCTGGTGGATGGAGAGGTCAAAGGGGATGCTAAGGATGACCTTCTCAAAGGGAACCAGCTCAGCGGAGTAGCCCCCAACCCTTTGCCACTGAGCGCTTCCGACCTGGAGATCGATGACGCCAAGCTGGACAGTTTGATCACCGAAGCATTGAATGGGCTGGGATACCAATCAGATAACCCTGAAATTGACAGCAGCTTCATCGATGTCTTTGCCGATGAAGAACTGGCTCACGGAGGGACACCTTCCAAGACCAAGGAGGGCTTCTCTTTGGGGCTGAAAGCAAAGCAAGTGGAGGAGAATGGGAAAACCTTGAGCGAGGAAAATGAGAATCATCCTATTGGAGACCCAGGAAAGGGTAAGATATCAGGACATCAAGAACAAAGTGAGGTCTGGTTTCCGATTCATGGAGGGGAAAATCCTGAGTTGGCTTCTGGTAGGTTCATGGACCAAGCAAAGCACCAGACAGAAGATGTTGATGCCCAGTCGAAGATAAGAAGGAAGAACTGCAGCCATTCCTTCGTTGCCAAGAAAGCGGCAGCCAAAGCTGTGCCAGAGGTGAAGCAATCCAAGGCTCGAGGATCTTCTCTGGGGAGTGAACCTGGGCCGGTTGACACTTCCATCACAAAAGAGCTCAAGAAGCAGAAGCAACGGAGCAACACCTGGAGCAAAGAGCTCATCCATAAGATTGTGGAGCAGAAGAACAAGCTCCACAAACTGCACACAAAGAGCAGCAAAGTCACATCTCTTCCCTGTGTACCTGATCACATGCTTCCAGAAGCCAAGAACAGTAAGTTTGTTGAGTACGAATACATCTCAGAGTCAGACGAGGAAAGAGTGGAATACGCCAAACGACACTGCAGGAGGAAGCTGGGCTCCAGATTGAAGGGCAGGCTGAGAAGCAGCTTCAGCCGGAAGCGGCAAGGGAGAGGAGGAAGGGAGATGGAGAAGGAGCCTGTGTGGAGATGTGGACTGAAAAGAGACAGGGGAGAAGATCCGCAAAGGGCCTCAAGCAAGGAGCCTGGAAAGGCAGAGCATGGCATGGATAGAGCCAGGAGGAGGAGCAGCCGGTCTTCCTCAAGCAGCTGCCAGGCCACCAGTTTGACCAGTGAAACCAGCGACAGCCCCAAGAACACAGAGAAGGCAGATTCGGACACAGAAAATGAACAGCAAAAGAGGGTCCTGCAGAATTCCAAGCAGAGAAAACTGTTGGATGTTCCAGAGAAAGAAGCAATAGGAAGAAGCCGTAGGATGTCCACTGACTTGTCCAGAGACTTAGAAAGTGTTGACTCTCCCAAGGTTCAGCTGGCAGATGTCAAGGCGTACCAAAGGGATGTTTCAGCCCTTGCTCTAAATGGAGAGGAAGGCCTGCTCCAGATGGCTTCCAGCAAGGCCATCCATGGCAAGGGCTCAGCGATGCCTTTCAGTCCCGAAGCTACAGAACAATGCCTCAAGGGCACCAGACATGACAGTGATGAGCCAATGCAGAAAGACAGGGAGCAATGCAGGCTACAAGGAGCTCCTCGCTGCCCTCCATTCACTGCCTATAATGGAGAGACGTTGAAATATCAGACAGAAGAATTCCTCAACCCATCCTCCATTGGGACCCAAACCCTCCCCAATGAGGAGAATGCCAGCTATGAGCAAGTAGACGTGAAGTGTTTGAAGAAACAGGAGTTCATTGCTTCCATTGGATGTTTCAGTGGCAATTCCTGTGATGCAGGGACAGTTGAAAAAGGAAGGCCAAAGATGCTTGTTGATGCTGCTGAAAAGTTTTATGGCTGCAAAGAATTGCCTGGTAGCTATGAGTCCTCAGGTCTCTTTTCGCCACCTCCTGCCGCTGAATCGTCCCAGAACAGCAATGCATATTTCTGCCATGAAGACATTGCATTCAAGCAGAAACACCATGAGATCCTGCCTTATGAAGTAGAGAATGAAGAAGGAAAGATGTCTTCTCCTCTGAGCTTTGATTCTTCTTCGGTGTTTGTTGCCGAGTTTGACGCCACCTTATATGATGGCATGGCATCAAGCAAGGACAGTTATGTCCCCTTTGAATGTGCCGGCCACCCTCTGGGCAAAATTGATCAGCACTATCCCTCCTTCCTGCATGAAAAGGACTGGAGTTTGATGGAGGACATATCCCCCGTTTTGCCGGAAGAAATCACCCCATTTCATGGCCTCTCTGTTGAAAAGCCCATCGCAAAGCAGTATCTCAGTGAGCTCCACCAAACACCTTTGCCTGAAAGGATTATGGATTACAACATCGTGCCATTCATGAGCAGCATCTCAGATGATGAGCTGGAGATCAAAAGATTAGTTACAGAGCTGGAAAGTCAGCTGCAAACACGTAAACTTCACATGGAGGAGGCATCTAGAGAAGGACCTGAAATCTCCAAAGACCATCCTGGCACAGAACGGAGTGAAGCTGACCACCAGTTTTTACCCCTGACGTTGGACCAGGAGAGTGATGACAAGGGGCTGTTCCTGACGGAAGATGGGTTTGGGAGTGCGAACCTTGTTCCTGCAAAAAGCTGTGGCTGTGAAACTTCCGAAAGCGAGAAAACATTACTTTCCTCTTTCGATGGCAAATATGGGTCCCATGCAAACCCATGGGATCATCCAGTGCCATTTGGTCCTTTGCACTTGGCACCATCTGCTCCAGAGCTGATTTTGGTGGAGCCCCTGAACACCAAAAGAGACCGAGATAAAACCCATGAAGATCTAAAGGATGGTGAAATCTCTGTGGGAAATGGCTTTCAGGATTTCAGGGATACGTCTGGCCAAATCTTGCTGGATTCATCCCTCCCAGGCATAGCCATGGAGGTCCCAAGCTACACAAGTCACTTGATGCAAAGCCCTGACACGTTCTTCCCTAAAGCTCTGGTGACTTTGCCACCAAGGACAGAGGCTTTTCCAGAACTGCTGCCTAAGGAGGAAGCATTCAATAGCATTGCCAAGTTGGAATCATACCAGCTTCCAGGTTCGAAATCAGAATCTGAGCTAGAGGTCATGGAGGCCGAAGGTGACTTGTCTTCCGGAGTCCAAAGCATCGAGGAATCAGATGAGACTGGGCCTTCCTTTCCCAAATCCAACTCACCCAAAATGCGAGACATCACAGCATGCTTCCAAAAGAGTCAGGATGATTCTGTGCTTCCAGAAAAAGCAACAGAGAGTGAAAACCAAAGTGTTTGCCAGTCTCCAGCTGTGCCCGACATAGCCAATGATGGGGAAAACTCGACTTTTGAAGCACTGGCTCATTCCAAGGAGACAAATAGGAAAATAGAAGAATATGAGCCAGCTTTGCAAGAAAAGGCAGATAATCCGCTGCAGCAGCTGCAGTTGTTTGTGGCCCGAACAGTAAAAAACAACGAGGAAGACCTGCTTGCACCCTGTTTCTCCATCCTCAGTTCAACCACCCACCTGCTTCCAAGCACCTACATCCAAGCAAGACAGAAAGAGGAATTGCAAGACAACATGCAAAGTGAAGACGTAACCGGAAGCCCTATGGTGGACAAAAGGAAGAGGTCACTGGGAGAAGAACCAGAGAGTGTCACCAAGGGACCGGATCCACCTGAACTTGTTTGGGAACAAGGCAAGCTAATGGGGCATTTGGACCAAAGAATTTCCTATGCAACCACCAAAGCTGTGACACAGAGCCCTGGATGTGATTTTGCAGAGGGAGAGCTGGAGCAGAAGGAGCGGCACTTCGAAGATGAGCGTTCAGAGGAAGGTGACATCAATACCTGCACAGATGGCGTTTCCCCGGAGCACAATAACCTTTCGCCACTCGGCAACCGAGGGGTAACCTCATCACTCATGGATGAGGGAAAACAAGGGGGTCGGGTTACTGGTGAGATGGAGGAAGATTCGGAAAAAGCAACCTTGGCATTTAGGAACCACAAAAGCCCTGGATCTTTGGAGAAAGAAACAACAGACTGTGCTTTGACGGCTATGCTCACTGTGCACAGCCCTTCTTGGGACAAAGGCTGCAGCGAGGGTCAAGAGAACGCCTGCCAGGCAGAAAACAATGGAGAGGAGCCTCCAGAAGGACAGCTGACGACTGAACTTCCTGAGTTTGAGGACACTGGTCTCCAGCATGGGACCAAATTCTGCTCAGGAAGCACCCCAGTTTTAGCAGAAGACCATAGCCTGAAGAAGAAGCATGCCATCCCCTTTGGGAATACATGCCTGAATTGTTTCTCCTCCACTGCTGGCCTTATGGATCCAAAGGACTTGCACAGAAATAACATGGAAAGCATGGCATCCAATGAGGTTGAAATGCCACCATCTGAAGAACTTCACAGCAAGATTCTTGCATGCAGGTACTCCTCTCATACTGAGAAAACTCTTGCTGGGGATCCTGTGCAGAGGGAACAAAGTGGAGTTCCACCATTCACTACTGAGCATTATGGGACCACTTCACCTCAGGCATTGCAGCCATGCCATGTGAAAGATACAACCTTGGACTCGCCTGGATCTCAGAAGGGCACCACCATGCCTTTGGTTTCATCTCCAAGCTCCATTGATCTGGCTTCTCTCATAGAAACCGAAAGAGCCATGGAACTACACATGGACCACTACAAGCCATCCAATGTGCTGCCTTTGAAAAATAAGGATCTCCCTTGTTCAGAAGAGGAACCAAATTGCCAAGAAGATTGCGAGACATGCCCTTTGAGGGATGCCATCATTCCTTTGCAGGCTTCATCCCATCAAGTCATTGCATTTGGTCAGTCTCCATCCAAGGCTGATTCTGCTCTGCCTGTGGACTCAAGGCCTAAGGAAAATACAGAGTCCATATTGAAACCCCAAGAAGAAAAGGAGGATGAAATCTATTTGCAGGCAGATCAAACTCAGTTGGAAGTCAGCAAGGCTGATATCCAAGAGATGTCAATAGTCCACATTCCAGAAACAACTAACAAAGATGGGAGTCATTTTAATGATGGCCAGATTTTAGAGACAGAAAAGAACATTTCACAGAATGGTTTGCGAGGCATAGACAGTGGAGGTCATGATTTGGAGAAGGAAGATGATAAACAAACTGAGAATGCAGTAGAGCCTTCTGGCTTTGTGGAGCAAGAAAAGCACCAGAGAGGAAGGCTAGGAGATATTTCTAAGACTGGGACAGAGACAACAAAGAAAGGAAAAGGCTCACCAGCGATCTGCGATATTTGTTCTGTCTCTTTTAGGTCCAAAACTGGCTTGATGAGACACAAAACTGTGAAGCACCTGAGTAAAACGGAGGGTGCCTTGTTGCCAGCTCCTGTTCCTTTGGAAAAAGAATTAAAAATGAGCAAGAAAAACAGAAGGCTCTCCATCAAAGAGAAAGCATGCGACTCTCCCACTGCAAAAGCAGCCGCTGGTCAGCCTTTCCCAAAGTCCTACAGGAATCAAAGATGGAAACCCAAGAGAGAGACCCAAGGGGTTGTTGTTAACAAAGGCCTCAGTGACCTCAATGGGGCTTCATCAGGCTTGGCTTGTGAACTCCAGGATACAGGTAGTCCCAGTAAAGAAAGAGAAGGTGAACTGGACCCCAGAAAAGAAGCAAATGCAGGAGAAAAAGAAAGAGAAGCAAGAATGGAAAAGCAAGAAAGTTTTTCTGAGGAGAAAGTAAAGGGGAAGGCAAGGAAAGTCAAAGCAAAAGGACTTACAAACCAAAAGACATTGACTCAAAATTCCCAACTGGAGATAGAAATCCCAGCACTTGGATCTGATGTGGTTCCCAGCACCACTGACCTTATTTTGACTGCTTCCACCATCAAGGAAGACCTGGAAGACAGTCCCATCTCAACAGAGCAGTCCACTTCCCTGCCTTGTCCTTCAAGAGTCAAGGAATTGGAAGATGTTGAGGAAAGGACATCTTCTGCCAAAGAAACAATGGAGGAGAACCTTTTTCAGGGTGTGGAGAACACAAAAGAACAGGCAAAAGATCCAGATGGGAAAGAGTGTGTGGAGGAGAGTTGTCAATCTGGGTCCACTAAAGAATCTGAGGAAGAGTCCAGTCCTAGTGAAGGCACAAGTGGGAAAGAACTTGAGATGAAGGAGAACCTTTTGGAGGAGATGATAGACAGGAATCCAAATAGTCCTTTGGGACGTGCACTCAAGGGACCACAACAGCCCTGTCAGGTTGGAGCAACTGAGAAGAACTTTCTCAAAGAAGCGTCCGGTGCTGGAGCTCCTTGTTTGGAAGATCCTCAGCCTTGGAGCACAGAAGAGTTTCCACCAAAGAACGAGTCTCAGGACAGGAGCAGCGTGGGGCCAGACCTTTTTGATGATGACTTCACATTTTCGCAGCTTTTCCCCAGGCATGACCAGTTTGCTCACAGAAAGTGCCGACGGGTGTATGGAAAGAGGATCAAGAAACCCAAACCCATTGCAGAGGTGACCACCAGGCCAGAAGGGACGATGGACCTCTTTTCCATTCGGATGGCTTCGGATCTTGGAGAAACCAGTTCTTTTTGTGTCACCAGGGAGGATCCATGTGAGTATGACTCCATCTACGTCGATGATGCCTTGATGCTCAACGTGTGTAACAGTAGCAAACCAATGATAAGTGATATCACATCTGGGTCAACCAAAAGAATGGCTGGACTAAGGGATGAAGTCACAGAGTTGGAGAATGGTGGGATGCTAAGCCTTCTGTGTCAGAAGAGCCCAACAAGTGATCTTCCAAGCTTGGGGAGCTGGACCAGTCTGGAGAAGAAGGGAGACAATGTTCCTGCTGATGAATCATCCCTCAACCCATCCATGGAGCTCACTGATGGACACTTAACTGTTGGAGACAGTCCAGAACCTCCCAATCTTGAGGAAGAACCCTATGAAACCAGAATAAATGAAAACCCATGCTCCCCTGTATTGCACACCATCGATATGGAGACACCAAACACTAAATATGAAATGAGGGAGGTGTGCTTCTACAGTGTTGGGGAAGATCATCATAGTTGCACAGATGACGAATGCACCTTAGGGTCTAAGCCAGCCTCAGTCCCCCAAGGTAGGCCCAGCAAAAATAAGCTAGAAGAAGGTAAGCAGGGGAAAAGTCGCAGCGACTTGAACCTCAAGTCAAAAGATAAGCAGTACAAGTGCAAGGTCTGCTTCCAGTGGTTCCTGACCTTAGGAGAGCTGGACTTCCACAAGCTCAGCCACAACCCTTCCCCGCCACCAACCTGCTACATGTGCGTCCAGAGGAAGTTCAGCTCCAGGGAGCAGCTGAGGGACCATTTGAAGGAGAAGCATGCCAAGAACAAGGCTGGCCTGTGGGCCTGTGGGATGTGCCTGAAGGAGATCTCCGACGTCTGGATGTACAACGAACATCTCAGAGAGCACGCCACTCAGTTTGCCCGGAAGGGCCAAGCTCAGAAGTCGGTCTTGGGATTGCCCGACTGCTTTGGTGAAGAGGACCCTGCCATTGCCCAGTTCTTGAACTCCATCATGTGCCGGAAGCCCAGCAAGGCCTCCAAGAACCCAGAAGTCCAGATTTGCAAGGAGAGGAAAGGCCCCAAGGAGCCCATGGGGCAAGAAGCAACAACGGTCAACAAGGACTCCCTGGAAATCCCATGCAGAACGAAGCCACCAGTTGCCTCCCCCAAAGCACCCACGGCCCCTTCTCCCAACCCTGCCCCTAAAGTGGAGGTGACTCCGAAGCTGGCCCCCATGCACCCTGAATGCAAGGACCCCTCTCGGGACTGCCATCACTGCGGGAAGCAGTTCCCCAAGCCCTTCAAGCTCCAGCGGCACCTGGTGGTTCACAGCTTGCAGAAGATCTACCTGTGCCACAAGTGTCCCATGTTCTACCAGGAGACCAAAGAGCTCCGGAGCCATCTCAGCCAGGAGCATTGGGCGGCGGAGGAGGCGGACATCAAGCACACCACACTCTATGCCTGTGAGCTCTGTGCCGACGTCATGCACGTCATCAAGAAGTCCTTCATCTGCAGCACCTGCAACTACACCTTCTCCAAGAAGGAGCAGTACGACCGGCACATGGAGAAACACCTAGTGGGCAGCAGCAAGACATTCCGGTTCCGAGGAGTGATGCGGCCAGGGGCCTTGGCGAAGGAGGGGAACAAGGCTGCGAAACAGGAGGCACCCCACAAGGAAGAGGTTCCACTGGCCAAAAAGAAGAAGGTGGGCCACCATAACAGCTCACTTGCACCTGGCTCACCCTCGCATTGCACCCAAGATCTCCAACTGGAAGGTGAAACTCTACTGCCTCTTGGACCTCTTAGTAGGCATCACTCCACAACAACATCTCCACCTGAGACATCAATGAAAACAGAAGGCCTCTTGGGCAATTTTTCCAACCTCTTGACTGAAACAAAGAAGTTCCTCTTTGAGGATCTGCCTCCTGATGCTTCTCTTGTGTCCCAGGATGAACTAAGTAACCCAGAAGGGCTTGGACATGCCTCTTCACTTTCTGAAGGACAGCAGTCCAAAATAGACACTGTCACAGATGATCTCTCTCCTGCCTTTGAGTCTTCTGATGCAGTTCGTCTTGATCTCACAAGCTCAGCCCAAAAGAAAACAGCAGCAGCACAAAAGCTATCTCATCCCACTGAAAAGCACAGCAAAGAACCAGCAGAAAAAACCACCTTTAATGCAGAAGATGCCATGGAGATTTGGGAGAACCTGCATGGAGAAGGCCCCTCTGTAAGCAAAAAGGCAACTGCATTTTCTCCTGCTTTAGAGAGCAAGAAGGAGCCTAAAACAAGGTGTCATGTCAGCCTGAACCCCAGTGAAGCAAAACCTCAGGAAAGTGTTGTCAAGCCACATTTATCTGAAGCTACCTTCCAAGCATTGCCTCTGAAGGACAAGACAGCATCACCTGTCCAAAACCAGAGTCCTTCAAAAAAGGTCCCCCTAAGTGAGAATCCATCCAGTGTGCAGTGTCCCCTGGATGAGGAAGATGAGGGTAAGAAACCCCCATATCTTAGAGACAAAGCTACAAGAGATATCTCTGCCGCTTACTCAAGGGACAATTGCTCCAGTGTTGGCATGAAAGAGGCAGGGAACAAGGTTGTCCGAAGCGAGGTGGGCAAACTCGGCCACTCTGACTTGGGCAAATGTCAGGAAAGACTGGCAAAACCTCACCCCAAGAAGCGGAAAGACCATAAGGCCATGCACAAGGCCGGCTCTCGGGAGAACATCGAAGGCGATGGTGGGAAGAAGAAGAAAGCACGGACCCAGGACAATGGTGGTGGAGATGGTGACCTCAAAAGGCCTGAGTGGCCAAATGGCGAAGGCTTGGCCTTGACTTCCCGACGGGGGGATGCCCATTGCAACAAACTGTCCTCTAAGTTGAAGATGTCCATGGCGGGTGGCGGGCAGCTCAAGAAGACGGTGCTGGAGCCCTGCTTCCCAAAGAAGGCCAATGGAGATGTGAAGCGGAAGAAGGACATCCTGGGCAGCAAAGCTTTCCACCCGCTGTTGGGCAAGGAGCCCTCGGGCCACCATTTCCACCGGCAGAGAGCTATCCAAGGTGCTAAGCTGTCTGACTCTCACAATTACCGGACGGCGGAATCCCAGAACAATCTCCTAAGCCAACTGTTTGGGCAGAAATTAACTAGCTTTAAAATTCCTTTAAGAAGAGATCCTTCTGAGTAATTTATGAAAGTGACTTATGGTGATCCTTTCGCTGCTTTCATGGGGGTTTTGCAAGAGAGTCCGCAAATTATCAAAGCCTTAAATTCGTTTGTCTTCGCGTCGTTTCCCTCTGTCTAGCTTAAAACGGACTTGCACTGCCGCCTCTGAAATAGTTTTTTTTTCCTTTTCCCTTTTTTGCTTTTGTGTCGTACTAATCTACTTTAATTCACCTGATTTATCATGCAAATGCGGGAACTTTGATGTTGCGGATGATTTCCATGAACTCAAAGCTGTAATCGCTTTGGGCAGAGCGAAGGCGTCAAGAGGGAAGGCTTTCATGGGAGAAGTGCTGAGGTTAGATGGAGACGCACAAATCCCGGTCCCCTCCTTCTTCCTTTTTTTTGCAAACTGCGTCTCTGTTATCTTTGTACAAAGTACTTGAAGAGATCAGTTTCATTCCAGAGACGTCTTATTCATAAGGTGCAGCACACTGTAGAAAGCATTCCTCCCCCCCTTTTTTTCTTTAATTTCCCCTCTTTTTGAAGATTTTGCACAAATAATCCTGGACGATTTCATTTAATTGGGAAGCGGCCTAAGACATGGTACAATTTAAGGTGGAGGGGGGAATTAAATTAAAGAGCAAGCCACGGTTTTCCCCCCTTGTGCGGAAAGCGATCGCCTTTTATTATTTAGACCACTGTAGAGAGGGATTGTGATGTTTATTTTATATAGAAAGAGAGAGAGAGATCTATGTGCTCCCTTTCCTCTAACTTGGCTAAACTGCACCTTGAAGATTAATAACATTGCTTCTTCTTGTTGTTTTAATTGTTAATGTGTTTGTATTTTCCATTGAGAAAACTGTGCCAACTTACGAGGGGCTTGATTAAAGATTTCCCCTGACCCACTTCCTGTGGACTGAGAGCAATAAAGCTTGACCCAGTTCTGAGTCCTTCTCTCCATGGGTGCCACCTCAGGACACACACTTCTCCCATCTTTTGAAGCAACGGTCAACACCTTGCTTGTAGAAGTCGACAGGTTGCTCCAAAAGCCACGTTGTGACTTTGGAAACCAGAGTCTCATCACCTGAGAAATGCTTGCCCTTCAATAATAACTTCCTTGTTGGAAAGAGGTGAAGGACCAGTGGTGTGAGGTCGGGTGAATAAGTGGGATGTAGGAGAATGTCAAAGCCACAAAAGCATGCTTCTTCCATTTGGGCAATGTGAGTTGCGAACTGGTGCATTGTCTTGTAGAAGGCAGACACCTTTCGGGAGCATGCTGCATTGTCTCTTGGTTTTGATGGCCTCTCGCAATTTTGGCAGCAGTGAAGCCTAGTATGTGCCAGTGATTGTGGTCCCCTGTGCTAGGAAATCTATCAATCCTACTCCGTGCGGGTCCTGTGAGCCTGACCTTGCCTGGTGAGAGTTGGGCACGTGCCTTCTTTGGAGGCGGTGAGTCAGGATGCTTCCATTTCATCCACTGGGCTTTAGTCTCAGGATCAGAGGGATGGACCCAGCTTTCCCCCTGTGTGATCAGTCTCTTAAAAAAGTCCTCCTGGTTTCCATGACACATCATTGTCAAGAGAGCCTGAGAGGATTTGACTCGTTCCTGCCTCTGGAAAGGTGTGAGCAGCCGGAGGACCCAGCAAGCAGATATCTTATACATGTGAAGATGCTCTTGGGTGATTTTTTTTCCACGGACCCCACATTTTGACATTTTGGCCTAGGTGGTGAATGGTTATGCGCTGATTTTCCAAAATGGCAACCTCCACTTGCTGGATGGTATGTTGATCAATAGTAGAGTGGGGTGGCCCTGGAGTTGGAGCTGTTTGCACTGAAGTCCAACCACATTGGAATGGACGATGCCACTTCTTGACTCCATCATATGATGGGGAATCATCCCCATAAACCTCTTTAATCTCATCAGACGTCTCCTTTGGTGTGTGGCCTTTCAAGGAAAGGGACTTGAGGACTGCTCTGTCTTTCACTGGCTCAATTCTCAAACCTCACACCACTTCAGCACCTGTAGTAAAATCAAGACCGTTATCTATTCTGAATTGCAAATTGGCATGCAACCTATAGAGATTTCTATCATTCCACATGTACAGTTTCAGTGTCCTGTGATAAATAGAAGTGGGTCAGGGGAAATCTTTAATGAACGCCACTCGTACCACCCCTCCAGACAGTACTGTGTTCCAAAGAGCTGTAATATATTATTTTGTAAAACCGACAGCGACAACAACCCAAAAACCCTACGACTCTTACTGTATTTGAAGTAGACCTGGTACGGGCTTTTTACCCTTCTGCAGTTAACTGGTGCTATTTTTATTTTCGTAAATGTGAATGGAAACATGTGTACACTCACAACACACAAAAAGGAGTTGCAAAGGGGAGACCGAGTGAATATTTTGCATGGAGAAACAAAAAACCTAGTGGGTTTTTTGTTTGAGGTCTTGGACAGAGGTGACATCTTGAATCTCAGGTGCAAAAAAAAAAATTACAAGGAAGATTCGGAGGCAAAATCGGCCATGGTTTTCCAAAGCCCCGGGGAAGGAAGAGGACAATGCACTGAAGGGGAGAAAGGGGCATGCGCTGAGTTTGTTTGTGCCGTGTGTGTGTCTTGCAAAACAATATTGTTTTGTGTGTTCAGATTTTTTATTATTAAAAAAAGGAATTAAATGGCTTTATCATTCTAAAGGCGGACCTTGAGAATTCCTTGTGTACAGATATCAAGTAACACTGGTGTATACACTTGCCATTGCCACTGTCCCTCTGCTTTCATCCCTTCTTTCTCTTTCCCTCATACCCCTTCCCCTCTCTTTTTTCTTCCTTTCTTCTTTCCTTTTTCTTTCTTACCCACCTAGCAACAGCCAGCCCAGTGACCTCCCAGAGGGCCACTTTACCTAGCAACAGACCTTCACCTAGCAATAGACAATCCAGTGAAATCACAGAGGGCCACATCACCTTGTAACAGTCTTTCCCCTAGCAACAGCTAACCCATTGACACCACTGAGGGTCACTTCACCTAGCAACAGACAATGTAGTGACATCACAGAGGGCCACTTCACCTCTCAACAGCCAAATATTCACCTAGCAATAGCCAATGCAGTGACCTCCCAAAGGGCCATTTCACCTTGCAACCAATCCTTCACCTAGCAACAGACAGTCCAGTGAAATCAGAGAGCCACTTCACCTAGCGACAAACCTTCACCTAGCGACAGCCAACTCAGTGACATCAGAGGGCCACTTCACCCATCAATAGCCAAGCCAGTGACCTCCAATAGGACCACTTCACCTAGCAGCCAACCTTTCACCCAGCAACAGACAATCCAGTGAAATCACAGAGGGCCACATCACCTTGTAACAGTCTTTCACCTAGCAACAGCTAACCCAGTGACACCACAGAAGGCCACTTCACCTAGTAACAGCCAATGCAGTGACATCACAGAGGGCCACTTCACCTCTCAACAGCCAAATATTCACCTAGCGACAGCCAATGCAGTGACCTCCCAAAGGGCCACTTCACCTTGCAACCAATCCTTCACCTAGCAACAGACAGTCCAGTGAAATCAGAGGGCCACTTCACCTAGCGACAAACCTTCACCTAGCGACAGCCAACCCAGTGACATCACAGAGGGCCACTTCACCTAGCAACAGCCAACCCAGTGACCTCCAATAGGACCACTTCACCTAGCAGCCAACCTTTCACCTAGCAACAGACAAGCCAGTGGAATCACAGAGGGCCACTTCACCTAGCAACAGTCAATCCAGTGGCACCACAGAGGGCCACTTCACCTCTCAGTAGCCAATCCTTCACCTAACAACAGCCAATCCAGTGACCTCGCAGAGGGCAGCTTCATCTCTCAACAACCAATATTTCGCCTAACAACAACAAATCCAGATTCATCATAGAGGGCTACTTCACCTCTCAATAGCCTTTGTTGTACAGACACATACAAAAAACACATACAGACCTTGACATTTATATAGAGGGGTGCAAGTGCATTCAATAGGTTCTGCAATGGGACACAACGGCCTTCGGAAACCCGTGGTCAGTGGGCCTTTCGTCCTCGGCGTGACCTCCGTCGGCCAGTGCTTGCGATCCTGCGACGCGGAGGCCTCCGCCAAGCGATGGGTATATTATATTCTTTAATTACTGTTGCAATCATAACATTTAAAACACTGTCAACCAGAGATAGCTCATAACCGCGGGCGAGAATCCTGCCACTTGGGGCTTGTAACTCAAACTGCAGGATTAATTTGATTAATTGATAGAATTATTTTCCCAACCACTCTTTTGTTTATGGCGGCTTAAAATGCTCCGAGCCCGCACCCGCGCAGAGTGTTGCGGAGGCGAGATAACGCTGGCTGAAAATAATTAGTATAGCTTAATTTAGGGAGGGGGAAGAAAGAAACACAAGCTGCAGGGAAGCATCGGGATTTTTTTCCTTATTTTTTTACAGCTGCTATATTTTTTGCAAGCGGCTGGAAATATTATTATGGGTTTGGGAATGGGATGTCTGCACACTGCTCCTGATATATGGCTTTGCGGATGCAAATGCACCAAGGGAGGAGAATTGCACATACTGAATATTCCAGGGGTGCATCAACACTGTGCTAATGGAGTTTGACAACACGTGAACTGCTGTGGATCTACCCATACTATGGACTCATGGGAGTTGTCGTTTGACAAGATCTTGAGCCTTCTTTGTCCAAGAGTGCTGGTACCTCATTAAACTACAACTACTTATATTGCATTGGGCCATAGCCATTCAAGTGGTGTTAAAGTGCATTTATGCTACATTTATGCTACAGTGTGGATGCACCCTGAGATGCTCAAAATTCTGGAAATAGACAAGAGTGAGCAGTGCATGTTTATCTAAGAGAAGAGACAGTTGAGATGTGATAGGGTCACCATCTTTAACTATGGAAGGTACTTGTTTTGGAGTGATGCTGCTCCAAAAGCTGGAACATGATTAAAAGTTTAAGAGAAAATATTCCAGTTGGACATTAGGAAGAATGTCCTGATGGAAGAGTGTCCAACCAAGAAATGGGCTGCCTTGGTCTGTGGCAGACTCTCCTCCTTGGAGCTTGGATGGACATCTTTTAGGGATGCTTTAATGGTGAACTCCTGCATTGCAGAATGGGGATAAACTAGATTGCCCTTGCGGCCCTTTCCAAATTAAAGGACTTTATCACGCGAAAGTGCTAAAGCGCAATTGTGGCAGGATAAAAGCACTTTTTGGTGAGGCTTCTGTCTCGTCTTATTGGAAAAACTCATTGATCAATCGAATATTGCTCTTGTTCCACCACTTTTCCTTGTGTAGCAATTTCCTTTTTTTGCAATCCCACGATTGCGAAGCAGAGAATGCTGAAACTTCGCAACTGCGCAGTTTTTGGCAAAATGGAGGAGGATAAAAATTTTAAAAACAGCTCAGTCTGAATTGTGCAAACACAGATAAGAAGCAGGGCTATGCGGAAACTGGAGTTCACATCAACAAAGTGTGAGCATTGTGCAATTGCGCCGAGGAGTGAAAGAACAATTTCAATAATGGTATATTTCAGTTTGCTTAACGCAATTGCAACAAGATGATAGGGTGGCGTGATAAAGTCCAATGATTCTATGCAAAGGATAGGATGAGTGGATGAAGAAGCAACAGCTAGGACATGAGGCTGTGTGGAAGATTAACCATAGCAATTCACACCATTGAAGTGCCAGTGTTGCGCAATTGCGCCAAGGAGGGGAAGAAACCATTCCAATAATGGTATGTTTCAGTTTGCTTAAATGCCATGATTGCAATGAGACAATAGCATAGTATGACAAAGTCCAACAACTCAACAGTACGTGTGAAAAAGATCTTGGAGTCCTCGCAGACAACAATTTAAACATGAGCCAACAATGTCATGCAGTGGCAACAAAAGCCAATGGGATTTTGGTCTGCATCAATAGGAGTCTAGTGTCTAGATCCAGGGAAGTCATGCTACTCCTCTATTTTGCCTCACTGAGACCACTTTACCTGGAATCACACTGTGTCCAATTCTGGACACTGCTATTGAACAGAGATTTGACAAGCTAGAATGTGTCCAGAGGAAGAGGGCGACTCAAACGATCAAGGGTCTGGAGAACAAGCCCTATGAGGAGTGGATTAAAGAGCTGGGCATGTTTGGCCTTCAGAAGAGAAGGCTGAGAGGAAACATGATGGCCATGTATAAATATGTGAGGGGAAGTCCTAAGCTTGACTTCTGCTTCCCTGGAGACTAGGACACAATGGGACAATGCTTCAAACTGCAGGAAAGGATGGAGATTCCACCTGAACGTGAGGAAGAACTTCCTAACTGTGAGAGAGAGCTGTTCAGCAGAGGAACTCTACTGCAAAGTATGGTGGAGGCTCCTTCTTTGGAGGTTTTTAAGCAGAGGCTGGATGGCCACCTGTTGGGGGTGCTTTGAAGGCGATTTTCCTGCTTCTTGGCAGAATAGGGTTGGACTGGATGGCCCACAAGGTCTCTTCCAACTTTAGAATTCTATGAAAAGGATGTGGAATGAGTTTGTTTTTTTTTTTTGTCGTGTCAGAAGCGAGTTGAGAAACTTCAAGTAGCTTCTGGTGTCCAAAACACTTGGCACCAGATTTTGGAATACTGTATTTGCATACATATAATGGAAGCGTCTAGGAGAAGAGGTTCATGCCTAGATACAGAATTAATTTGCAGCTTCTGTTGTTGTTGTTGTTGTGTGTCTTGAAGTCATTTCCAATGTATGGTGACCCTTTTATGGCAAGACTGGTTTGCCTTTACTTTCCTCTGAGGCTGAGAGATTGAGATTTGTATTGTTGAAGGCTTTCATGGCCAGAATCACTGGGTTGCTGTGAATTTTCTGGGCTGTCTGGCCATGTTCCAGAAGCATTCTCTCCTGACGTTTTGCCTGCATCTATGGCAGGCATTCTCAGGGGTTGTGAGGTCTGTTGGAAACTAGGAAAATGGGTTTTATGTGGAATGTCAAGGGTAGGAGAAAGAACTTTTTTGTGGCAGGTTTTGTTTTTGTTTTGTTTTGTTTTGTTTTTTTGGTGTCAGGAGCGACTTGAGAAACTGCAAGTCGCTTCTGGTGTGAGAGAATTGGCCATTTGCAACTACGTTGCCCAGGGGCCGCCCGGATGTTTTGATGTTTTTACCATCCTTGTGGGAGGCTTCTCTCATGTCTCCACATGAGGAGCTGTGGCTGATAGAGGGAGCTCATCCATGCTCTCCCTGGATACGAACCTGCGACCTGTTGGAATGGAATGAGTGAAGAAGCAACAGATAGGCCGTGAGGCCGTGTGGAAGAATAATCACAGCAATTCACACCATCGAAGTGCCAGCGTTGTGCAATTGCGCCAAGGTGGGGAAGAAATTGTTCCAATAATGATAAGTTTCCACTTGCAAGACAATAGCACAATGTGATCCAATCCTATAAGTTTCTATGATTCGATGAAACGAATGGATGCAGAAGGAATGATAGCTGGCAAAACTCAAGGAATCCATGTCTATTTGTGTTATTCTCGAAATAGACCCATTCAAGAAGGTTGTGTTCGACTCCGGCACTAATATAGTTCTTGATTCCACTGACATGACTTTTCAGCAGCAGAGCAGATGATATTTCCAGACAGGGGATATATCCATCTTATTTTCCTCCCGGTGTCATTTTCACTTGGCCTCCCCCTCTG